GTGGCCAGGAAAGAGCTCTGCCAACTGTAGGCCCAGGAGCATGAGCGAGACGTCTCTGCTCTGGAAGCAGGAAGGGAGGACGTGCCCCTGGCAACTCCTGTGCCCCATGAGAACTGGACGAGGCCCCCTCGCCTTCCAGGACGCCACAGAACGTGTCCTCGGCTTTCCCATCAAGGGCTGGGGGGAGCTGGTGCACCCTTCCCAGGCTCACAGCCCCGTCGTGGGTCCATGTGGCACTTCCGGACAGAGAAGACCCACGACCCACGTGTCACGGATGAGGGCGCCTCACTCTCTGGCCTCCTAACTGCTGCTGCTGAGGTCCAAATCCCCGCTGGATGTGCCCGACAGAGGAGCCAGCTCTGGTCTCGGGGGGCTGGTTTGTAGAAGTCTCCACAGACCCGGCTCCAGCTTTATGTTTTCAAATGAATACCCAGCCAAGATTTCAATTAAATTACCAGAAACACTTAAGTTTCCTCATAGACTCCACAACAGGGATGGAGAAGGAAGTCAGCTGATCGAGGTTACAATGCTGTTCAAGGGAGTATTTCTTGGGTCACAAGTGGTAAACCATGTTCTCTGAACAAAACCAGGAAGCTTTCAGTTTTTACTGTATGCACTAGGAGGAGGGAGGACTTCTGATTCTGACAACAACATCTCCCCATTCCCACTGCTCAGTGCGACACGAACAGGGCCCTTGCCTGGATTGCAAGAACTCTAGAGGCGGCTTCTGAGAGCAGGGAGCCCCGACAGCTGGGATTTTAGGGACTTTCTGGGCTATGGGGAGGCTGTGTGACTGGGCAGTCCCAGCAGAACCTGGCACTCTAGAGACCAGGCACTGCAGGGCCCAGGAGAGCAGCTACAGTCCCAGTATGTAAGTATATAGGCAGAACTATCTAGAAATGTATTACTGCATTTCACGAGCACAAAAATCAATCTATCTCTAAAGAATGGAAGAGCTACAGCAGCATGAGCTACCACCCTCCCACAATCAAAAGCTCCTGGGATTCAGGTTTGGGAAGAAAAAGAAAATATCCCAAATATGTCATTTGAGAAAGCAGCTCCTGACCACAACCGGCCCCAGCTTTTCTCAAGATCCAGGATGTGGGTTCAGTTCCCTTACTCGGGAAGTGGGGGAAAACGGTCAACACCAGGACACTGGGCACAGGCCTGGGGGACTTGCTCCCCCAAATCACCCCGGATCCACGCAGAACACATCCTGGCCCCAGGCCAAAGTCACCAGCGACTCTGTACCGATTTGGAGCAGAGCCGTGCCAAGGGAGGAGGCCATGGGCTCTCTCTGAGACTGAGGCAAGAAGCCAGGAGACCCTGCTGCTGACAGCTGCAGGTTCATGTCTTTCCCACTCGCCTGGCTCCGAGGCCGGCTGTCACCCTGTTACTGGAATCTCTCAGCTGTGGGGGTTCCTCGGTCATTTGCTGTAAACCTCACTGCAGGAGGAAACTTGCTGAACAAATCCAGTGACTCCACTGGTCACCCAGAGCATGACCACTGTAACTTCCCCTTGTGCCTGGTCACGAGCCCCACCTGGCACCAAGGCCCCCGCCGTCACTGACGGGATTCCCAGACGGCAGGAGGGCAGAGCCCAGGGAGCCCAGCAGTTAGCATTTCCCGGTCCCATCAACAAAGGCCCCGACAGTCTGCAGCAGCAATTCCCAGACACCAGCACATAAAAGCTTAACAAAGTCAGCACCCGATGCTTCTGAGGCCGCCTGCAGCAGTGTTACCTGCATTCCCGCGACTCGGGAAGGGAAGGTGGCACCTCGCGTGGAAAGGTGTGACCGTAAATGTCACAATCCATGAAGCCAGAGCCCCGTCTAGGGCTCACACACGCGGGTAACGTGCTTCCGTCCTAAACGTCCACCAGCGTGGTTGCTGGTTATCAAAAACAGAGATTCATATAAAGCACTAATAAATTCCCGGTAACCTTCTATCACCTACTTTAAAGGAAAAAAATGGAGGACGGCAGCAGAGACCACGGACCGCCCCAGGAGCAGGAGCTGTGCTATGCCCTCCTCTTATACTTCGAGTTGCAACCAACAAAGGTCGTTCCTACTGTAAAAAAAAATCAAAAAACAAAAACAAACTACGACTGTGATCAAAGGGCGGGAGAAACTGCTGCAGACCCTTTAACAGCCGACCCTCACTCTCAGAAGAGGCTGGGCTCCAGGGCTGCATTATTCACGCCCCGCGAGAAGATGGTAGTCCCTTCCAGCGCAGGGAAGAAGTGCGGGGGGTGGGTAGCTGCAGCAGTCGCAGGCACGGCCATGGTCTTCAAAGGGTGGCTCTGTGGCAGGCTTCTCTCCAAGGCCCGGCCACCCCACCACCGCAGACTCACAGGGACCCCGCACCCTCCTCACTCTGCTCCGCATCCCACTCGCCGTCTCAGCTCAGGGCAGCCTGGCGATGTGTGCAAGCCCCCGGGTACACCCCACGCACCCCAGGGAACCCCACCTGCTCTGACCAACCTGGTGAAGCTGCTGCTGCAGAGCTCGGTTCTCCGTCACGATAGCAATCTGGGCCTCCAGGTCCCGGTGAACTGACCTGTACCCAAAATTAGGAGAGCCAATCAGCGTGAGACAGGGCAGGCTGCTCCCTGCCAGGTACAGCCAGAGGCCTGCAGGGAAAAGCAAACGTGCAGACAGGAAATGAGCACAGCATCTGCTGAAGTCTTCTCCACACAGTTTCAACCTAAGAGAAAAGCAGCTGACCAGAGGGCTCACGGGACACGAGGTGGCCACTGTAGACAGGCTAAGCTAGGACGCACCCTTCCAACCCCCACCCAGGTGCCGTGGGAAGCACGGGGGCACAGGGCACAGCCTGGCCCTCCCAGATACCTCAGCTCAACCACTGCTCTTTGTTCCTACCACTCTGCACCTCACTTCCCAAGCAGGACAAGAATGGGGTTCCCAAAGGGAACCGCCCTGGCGATGTGTCTCCAGGGTCTGCTCACACACACCCCTGCCCCAAGCGCTCACCAGAGCTTCTCCCCCGAGAGCAAAGGGCCTCAGATTCCCCTCTCTAAACTGCCCTGGCCACATCCTGGCCTGCTGATGCTGCCGGCTAGGCTCCCGGTCCACGCTGGCCAGAGGCTCAGTCGTGTCTTCCTGCAAGCACCAGGGAAGGAGCACAGGTCAGAGCACACCTGCTGCTCAGGGAAGAAGCCCCCACTGTGTTCAACACGGCAGGTGGAAAGAGCAATCCTTTCTACCTGAGCCAGCACGCTTGGGGCTGGTTACACGGGTGACAAAGGTGCTTGGTAAGAACAGGTCAGCTGGAAGGTTGGCTGCCTGACTATAGGTCCTGGGTAGGACATCTGTGCCCTTCCCACCTAAGGGACACAGTCTCCCTAACCCAGCCCCCTATTCCAGGCTGTCATACTCCAGAAAAACTACAAAGCCCAAAACAGATCACAGAAGTGAGAGCTCTGCTGTCACTGGCCCTGGGGCTCGGGGCCTTCCAGGCTGGACGAGGCAGTCCATCGGGGCCACAGCACCCAGAGAGCACCGTCTCCCCTTTTTGCCAGGAAATGAGCCTGTTAATGCACAGTCAGAGAAAAAACAAGGCACAGACGGAGCAACCTGTGTGGCAATGAGAGCCACGTCATGGGGACGTTTCTGTAATGAAGGTCGTGGGCACTCTCAGAATCCTGAAATGCCACCTGAGGTGACAAAACGCAGGCACTGGGTTCTGCGCCTCATCCTGTGCCCTCCCCAGAGTTCCAGGGCCTGTTTTCATGGCCCAGCCCCCATCAGAACTACTTCTCCTAAAAAGACTATTCCCAACACCTAACGTCCCAAGGACATCTGCTGCCCAAGACTTCCTTCCTCCTAGTGGGAGCCCAGACTTGGACTTGGTCTCCAGCCTCTCCCCACGCCACACCCTCCCCACTCTGCGGACACCTGTCCCAGAAAACCCAGCCTAGCGTCAGTGTGGCCGTGGACACAGCCTCCTCTGGGCGCCCTTCGCGGGCCAGCCTCCTCAGGGTCTCCACCACGACATGCCTCCGCCAACGTGGCCCTTTCAAAGGGCCCTCGGACACGCATGCTCATGACGGGCAAGTCAACAGTATGTAACACACACCACGCTCCTAAAATAGAAGGCCATTTCCTAATTCTCACTCGGAGCAAGAGCATTTCCAAGAACATCTTGGGTAAGAGGTGACGAGGCCCTGCCGCCTGTTCCTGTAATGGGCTTGTCCCCTCCCCTCCAGAGGCCACATCAAAGCCACTTGCTTGCCTGTGTGCACCGCTCCGTCACGGGCACCGCCCACCAGCGTGCAGGCCATTCGCAGGCCCGCAGGAGTGGGCAGGCCGCCCTCCTTCCCTGGCGGCCCTGTCCAGGTGGTCCAGGCAAAGCGGCCCCGCCGTGCCCTCTTTGCTCACGGCTCTGCACAGCCACGGCCTCCCATGCACGCCCAACTTTGCCCGGGGGGTGCAGAGCTGCAAGAGACAGGTGCGAGGTGGGAACCTGGCCAGCCTCAGACCAAAAGCAAGAGCTTCCTCCCACTTGACATTGCTGGTGACAAGATCCGCCTCGTAAAAACACTGGGTCTGCTCAGTGCCACTTGTCCAGCCAGCTCTCCTGAGCCTGCCCTGAGAGGCGACAGTGAGTGACTAGGGAGCCCACACACTCACATGGGCAACACGGTCGGGCTGGTCTGCATCATGCCACCGGGACCCTGCGTCTACCCCACGGCTCCTAGACCACAGAGTCTGGCAGGGAAGGCGGCAAGTGCCTGGTCCTACACGTACTTTTGATTTGCAAAACCCACCTCGACACTGACTCATCCTCTCACAAGGCCACTTGGGAGTCTGCCATCAGGGGAGGCAGCCGCCCCAGCCCACTGCTGAAGCTTCATTATGTGCATTTTTGTCATCACCGACCCCGAGACAGGGATCTGTCTGTACACTGTTTGTGTATCTATGCTTCACATATAAAAAGAACGAGATATTTTTAGCACCCCTCCCCAACAGCTATCACCTTCTTAGGAAGGCATGACATACGCCTAGCTCTCGTCTTCCCTCTCTTCCCTGTCACCTCTACCTCCCTCTGCTTCCTCCCTCTCAGGCCTAGGGCGGCCTTCAGGTGAGCGCTTGGGATGAAAGCGGCAACTCATGTTTTTAACCCACCTGAGATTGCCCCACCAACTTTCCCTGTGGTCTTATTTGCACTGCACTCTTTCTCCATCAAAAATAAAAATCATAAATGGGCCAGGCACAGTGATTCATGCCTGTAATCCCGGCACTTTGGGAGACCAAGGTGAGAGGATTGCTTAAGAC